TCACTTCTTTAGGGTATATACCTAGTAATGGGATGGCTGGGTCAAATGGTATTTGTATTTCCAACTTTTGAAGGAATCGCCATACTGCTTTCCACAATGTATTTATTTCTTTTTTTAAAAAAATTTTTGATGTGATTTTAGTGAAAGTTTACAGAGCAAATTCATTTTCCATACAGCAGTTCATACACATTTTGTCTCATGACATTGACTGCAATTGCCCCAATGTAACAGCTCTCTTCCCACTTCCTCCCTGTAGTTACTTCTTCTCTGTGTCCTTCCCTCCCATTCCCTCCCTGCCCCAGCTGTCTCCCTGTTGCAAACACTGCCCTTCTGTTCTCCCATGATTGGTCACTCCAAGGAGTGTGAGACCCAATATATTTCTTGATCTTCATAGCTTTACATTAATTTGTATAGCCTTCAGCTTTTTCAGCCTCAAATTCCTCATGTTCAGAAAATTAAGCATTTATTGACTGTACTATGTTGTTGGTTGTTATGTGCCGTCGAGTCGGACCCAACTCATAGCGACCCCTCCTTGGGTTTCTGAGGCAATATCACTACGGAAGTAGATTGCCCCATCTTCCTTCCAAAGAGTGGCTGGTGGGTTTGAACCACCAGCCTCCTGGTTAACAGTCAAGTACCTTAGGTACTACGCTACCAGACTGTACTATAACAGTACGAAATACAAAAACAGTGAATACTGCCTGTCTTAAGGAAGTTTAGTGTTTTGTTGTGAGTCAAGTCATTGGAATTAAGCACTATTATAAAGAATTCTTAACTGGGGAGATTAGGTTGAAGACAGACTAAATTTAAAGAGAAATGTGTGGATGGTTTTCCTCATTAGGAAAACAGCATGTGTAGAGGTATAGACTTAGGAAAATAACTAAAAGAAACTTGAAGGCTGCTATTGCTAATTGATATAGCCCTCTATAAAACTATTCCATTTGTAAAAATGCATTTGTCCTTTTTTCTAAATATACATACATACATAGTAAGAAATTTTGGAATGAAAAAGTATATAAAGGAGTTAACAACAATCACCTTGCTTGAAAGTTTGAGTTTGAATTAGTATATAGAAACAAAATGAATGAAGATATAAAGTAACTATTAATTTCCAATCAAAGAAATCTCACAAGAAGGGAGATGTAATGGGAGATTATTATATTGTTTAGCTATGAAAAATATCTACAACAACATAATAAACATACTTAACAAATGGTTATTGAAATCTGTATATGCATAGTTTATTTAACAATATATATTGAACAATTACTTTATGTTAGGCATAGTTCTAGGTGCTAGGATATAGCAGTAAACACCAAAGATATAATTCCCTATCATCATGTTGTTATTATCATTCTAGAGGGGGAAAATAAAAATAGATCAAATATAGTAAAAAGACATTAATTTTTGGTGAATCCCTTACATGTTCTATCATATTATGATGGCAGGGTCTCACATGTATACATTATGGCAATCCATTTTTCCACTTAAGTGAACTATAGCCTTATCATTGAATGTGAGGTTACCTGCAAAGTCATCTTGATTTTCCTCAGGACTCTTAAAACGGCAGCACAAGTTGTACCATTTTGTTTTATCTGCCTGTCAGAGCCTGCATCAGTTGCAAGAGATAAGATTTCTTCTTCAGTTGCTAATATAGAGTACTCCAGAAGGTGAGCTGAGGGGTGTACATTGGTGGACTGTCTGAGCTTTATTTCTCTTCTCTGTTTGTACCAGTAGTAAGTGTTTTCACAAACTGGTAGAGGTGTTTTTTTGCTTCATACATGGGATTTTTGCACAACAGTTATAAAAACAACTTTATCAAATTCCAAGACACATCAAACTCACTGCCGTTGAGTTGGATCTGACTCACAGTGACCCCTCCTTGGGTTTCTGAGGCATCATCAGTACAGAAGTAGATTGCCTAGTCTTCCTTCCGAGGAGACACATACTACTGAGAGATAAAGGGTGACTGTACAATTTGGTACATGTTACATATACGTCTATAACTTAGATACTAAATAATATTTTTAAATTTTTATGCCTTGTATTTTTTTGTATCGCCTTTATTGAGGTATAATTTACATCAAGTAAAATTCACTTATTTTAAGTGTTCAATTCTATGTATTTTGACTATATATATAATTACCACCACAATCATGACATAGAACATTTCCATAAACCCAAAATTTCCCTATGCCCGTTTGTAGTAAATCTGCTCCACTCACTCCTAGCACCTGCCAACCACCAAGCTGCTTTCTTTCGTTATAGTTTTGCCTTTTCTAGGATTTCATGTAAATGGAATCATACCATGTGTACCCTTTTGTGTCTAGCTTTTCCACTTAGCATAATATATTGGCAATTCATACATGTTACAGCATGTATCTGTGCAGTCACTGGGTTATGTGTGAGTTCTGTTCCTAAATCTGTCTTTAAGGTGAATTTGTATGTAAATCGGAACAGTTAGGTATAGCATGTATCTGATGTCAGTCAAATTTTTGTCTTAGTATATAGTGTAACTTTATATGCATAAAAAACATTAAAGAAACACTTCCAGATACACTAAAACATCTTTAACATAATAATACAGTAATAATAATGGTGTTCTGATGCATGTCATAAAAGAGTGCCCATTTGTAAGAACAATGAACCATTTGTATGGACCTCAAATTTTTAATATAGTAAGCTTTATGGAGATTAGTTCATAATTACAGGTTATATGTAAGTCAGATATTTGTAACCCAGGGACTACCGATGGTAGTTTATTCCTTTTTGTTGCTCAATAGTTTTCCATTGTGTCGATGAATCCAATTGCTTATCTGTTCAACTTTTTAAAAAACTTTTTATTGTGATTTGAGTGAAAGTTTATGGAGCCAACTGGTTTTCTATTCCATAATTCATACACATTTTGTTTTGTGACATTGATTGCAATCCCCATAGCATCATATCACTCCTTCCACTTCCTCCTTGTGTTTCCTGTTTCCATTTGTCCTTCTTTCCTATCCCTTCCTGCCTTCTGACCTTTATCCCTGTGCAAAAGCTGTTCTTTTGATCTCTTGTAGCAGATTGTTGTAAGAGTTGCATACCCCTCTAGTGTTACTGTTCATCTTATAGACTTGTCTGTTTGGCTGGAAGTTAAGCCACTGGGGTGAGTTCAGTTCCAGGCTTGACTAAAGGCCACAGTCTCGGGGAGTTCCACCAATCTCTGTCAGACCCGTAAGCTTGTTCTTTTTGAATAATTTTGAATTTTGTTCTATGTTTTTTCCCCACTCCATTCAAGACCTTCTATTGTGATCCCTTTCAGAAGAGTGTGTAGTGGTAGCTGGGCACCATCTAGTTCTTCTGGTCTCGGGGCCGAGGAGGCAGAGGTTCACATAGTCCATTAGTCCTTTGGACTATTTGTTTCCATGTGTCTTTGATTTTCTTACTCTGCTTTGGATGGAAAGAAACCAATAGTTGAACCTTAGGCAGTTGCTTGCTGGCTTTTAGAGCCCAGTCAGTAGTCATCACAGTAGGATGTATAACATTGGCTTTGTAAACTATGTTTTGCCAGGTGAGCTGGCTGTCCCCTGAGACTGTGGTGCTAAGCCTGCAAACCTCCAGAAAGAAACGTTGTTTGATGGTTACCAGGGATGGGAGGGGTGGGAAGGAAAATCACTAATTACATAATTAACACATATTAATTTGGGTAAAGGGAAAGGCAATATACAATAAGAAGATGATTGGCACAATAACACTAAGGCAAAGGAAGACATGGAGAAGTGCACAAGAGTTATAGACAACAAAGGGAAATACTATTACATATAAAACTCTCACTGCTATTGAGTCAGTTCCGATTCATAGTGACATCTCCTTGGGGTTCCAGGGCGTATCCCTACGGAAGTAGATGGCCCAGTCTTCCTTCCAAGGAGTGGCTGGTGGGTTTGAACTGCCAGCCTTCTGGTTAGCAGTCAAATGCCTGAGGCACTACACCACCAGAGCTCCTTCTATTACATATTACAAATTGCATGATTGTATATATGCGTGTTCCCTTGTTACCCTCCCGAGAGGGACCGGGTCTCC